AAGTCATGAGTATAAATTAGGGGATCTTGTTCTGTTAAAGAACAAATATCGCCAACGATGGCAAAAGCAAAAAGTTGCTTCCAAAATACAGTGGCCCCTAGCCCCTACATTATTAGAGAAGTATAACTCATGACCGATACGTGGTAGAAGATCTACCAGGTTCACGGCGCGCGCAATGAAGTATCACGGTGTCATTGTGTTGACAGAATGAAGCCATATGTTGCTCTTTACGAAAGCAGTGACGACATCACGGAATCCGAAAACGATAATTCGGACTACGAAAATAACGAGGAAAATAATTAACGATTTCTTTATATAGCATCTTATTCAATATTAGTTGATAGAAAGCTTATGCAGATAATGTGAGCGTGTGCGCAGCGTTCGCCTTGTCTCCAGTTTTCTGTTTCAGATCGATTTATATATATATTTTTGAAAGTTATTGATTGTATTTCAGGGATTTGAAATAAGAATTATCTCCGGGACGGAAATGTTGGCAGCATGGCCACCTTTAGGTAGTACTCAAAAGAAAAAGAAGATTGCGACTAGTGGAAACAAATCAGTATTGACGGTATTGACACACACACGGAGAAAAAGGAAATAAGGGAAGGACGGATGGTCCTCCATTTTTGACATATATATTTTTTTAACAAGAGTTTAAATCATTTTATGAAAATAATAAGAGATTCACATGGAAACTGTAGTGTGTTTATTATATGTGTTTATTTATTGTATTAATTGTTGTGATCGTATATTGTTCGTCGTTTTTAATCTGACACTTTCCGTATGAGGAGCGCGGGGGTGGAACATATGGCAAAGACAGGCGTGACGTCAGGTGGCCATTGGCGTTCTAACGTAGGGAGCCACCAGCTCACATTCCTTTGGAGTATCAGATTAAAATCGACGGACTTTATATGGTATAGTTTTATCTTATTTTCTAAATAATTTGTCATCGATATAAGTAGGTACTTAAAATACCATTTGGAGTTTGCTCTGTTGTGTAATAAACAATAAATAAATAAATAAATAAAAGCACTGTCCTATGGACATAAGGAGTAGGAACGTACCATTCTGCTATGAAACTAAAGTGAAGCCAGTTTTTGGCAGATGTTTGTACACCAAATGACAGGTAAAGTATTGAATTGAATATATCGCCATTTTTTGGTGACCAACCTTAGAAATCACCTGCTCTAAGAGTTGAAATATATATAATTCAAATCAGAAAATTCGACTCTTTTCAACTGTAAAGTCATATACCGGGTGTCTACGAGATCAGTTTCGCGCTGGCATTTGCTGGTTTTTTTTTCGATGGCAAAGATTTTTGGTATAGAGTGTAGGTTTGAGAAATGTCATATTTTGACATGTGTGTCAATGTTTGGTAACTTCCGGTTTGACCGGCAATGGTCCTAACTCCGTAATTTTGAATGGCATCCCGATAATTTTTTCACATTTTTGGTATCTGCGGATCATGATGTGTATGAAAACGTCAAATTTGAACATTTTTGAAGAAGTTTTAGAACTCTGGCTGAAAATTTATTTTTGAACAGAAAGTGACGGAGAGTTCTTAAAATTGTAATTTTCAACCCACACAATCGTAGAAAAATGCGAGTGCCAAGATGTTGTCCTTTGCTTGCTCTCCAAGGGCATCCAAAGTTGAAAAAATCACATTTTGCGTGATAACTCAATGAAATCAGTGAAATCACCCAACTTTCACAACAAGAGTTTTTTACCTTTTTCAAAATAAAACCAACTATGCATTGAAACTTTTCATTTATGTTAGTTTTTAATTATATTCTTATTATTTTTATAATGCACTTCTATAAATGATAAAACTACTTATAAATGAACCCCTGTATGAAGAACGCTTTCCAAAAGGAGCTGGTGTTTTTTTTTTTCTTGACAAGCCATTGACAAGATCTGTGGGCAAGATATGTTTATTTGTCATTGTTTGACATCTTGGGAATTTGTAAATACAAAGTTTGAATACAGGGGTTTATTTATAAGTAGTTTTATCAGTTATAGTAATGCATAGTAAAAATATTGGAAAAATAATTAAAAACTGGAAAAAGGTAAAAAACATTTGTTATGAAAGTCGGGTGATTTCACTGATTTCATTGAGTTATCGCGTAAAATGTGATTTTTTCAGCTTTGGAAGCCTTTGGAGAACAAGCATAGGATAATAACTTGGCATTCGCATTTTTCTACGATTGTGTTGGTTGAAATTAACAATTTTAAGACCGCTCCGTCACTTCCTGTTCAAAAATAAATTTTCATCCAGAGTTCTGAAATTTCTTCAAAAATATTCAAATTTGACGTTTTCGTACACATCATGATCCGCAGATACCAAAAATGTGAAAAAATTATTGGGATGCCATTCAAAATTACGGAGTTAGAACCATTTCCGGTCAAACCGGAAGTTACCAAACATTGACACACATGTCAAAAGATGACATTTCTCAAACCTACACTCCATACCAAAAATCTTTGCCATCGAAAAAAAAAACAGCAAATGCCAGCGCGAAACTGATCTCCTAGACACCCGGTATAGGAAGTTCCATAAGAAAAACTAACCATCTGTTAAAACTTTTGTATTCGCAAATTTTTGATATGTCTTCACATAACCCCTGTAGGCTGGGAGTCAATATATGGGAAAAGACCCTGTACAGCGTGGCCCATTTTCGATGTTTTAATGGGCTATATCAAAAACCGGCAGATATATCAAAAATCTGGGTGCACATTCTCGAGCTCTTTTTTTGAGAAAATAACAATGGCGAAGACAAATCACGGCTAACTTGATGCGTTTAGGAAATACAGGGCACTTTTCAAATTTTGTTCAATTTTAAAAGACCTTCTAATTTCCTTACTATTCAAGATATCCAAAAACGAAAAATTCTTTCTATAGGCAGTTTTTTAAGTAGAATCCAGTGGCATGACCAATTTTTTTCCAGATGCCACCGATTTTGAAATATTGACCAAAGTTGTGTTTTTTTAAATGGGACACCCCGTATATTATTTTTTCATTGAATAGCTCTTTGTGAGCTGATTTCATTGATATAAGGTTTTATACCTTTACCTTCAATAGTTTTGGAGAAAAAAAATAAATTCCGTTTTTCCATAAGAAACAATGAGTTAAAAAGAGATAGTTGACCTATGAATCGGCTACAAAATTCTTAATTCCTAATTTAATTTTTCAGTTCAGCTAATTTTTTTTAATTTGAACTATGACTATGAATCGGGCGTGATTAATAAGCAACACATAATTTATTTAATGACTTATCTCTCTCTAGCTCACTGTTTCTTATGGAAAAACGGAATTTATTTTTTTTTCTCCAAATATATTGAAGGGAAAAGTATAAAACCTTATATCATTGAAATCAGCTCACAAAGAGCTATTCAATGAAAAAATAATATTTTTCCCATTTAAAAAAAAACAACTTTGGTCAATATATCAGAATCGGTGGCATCTGGAAAAAGATTGGTCATGCCACTGGATTCTACTTGAAAAATTGCCTACAGAAAGTATTTTTCGTTTTTGGATATTTTGAATAATAAGGAAATTAGGAGGCCTTTTAAAATTAGACAAAATTTGAAAAATGCCCTGTATTTCCTAAACGCGTCAAGTTAGCCGTGATTTGTCTTCGCCATTGTTATTTTCTCAAAAAAAGAGCTCGAGAAGGTGCTCCCAGATTTTTGAATTCTCTGCTGATTTTCGATATAGCCTATTAAAACATCGAAAACGGGCCACTCTGTACATATCGAGGTCCATATGTATTTGTAACATGTTTGCAAACGCAACAACAATATACGGAATGAACCTCGCACACCTTATATGGGGTTTCGGCGATCGGTCGAATTTTTTCAAATTTTGGTATGTTATAGAACTTATTAAAATAAGCATTTTTTGTCATCATGCAAATTCCCTAAGTATACAAGGTGACCCAGAAAAATGGCTTACAAGTTAAGCGCAAAACAAGCAAATTACGGAATTTTGATGAGAATTTCATACATCTGTCAAAACTGGTATTCCAACAATAAATTGACATGTTTTGATTGCTGATTTGAACCAATCAGATTGTAATTAAGCGACAATTTGCACTAGTGCAAATTATCAGATAATTGCATACTAACTGAACTGGTGTTTTGACATTTTTTGACAAAATATTTAAATTTTTGATTAATGAAATTCTCTCATTAAATACAACTCGTGCAATGGAAATATATTTATAATTTTCGACAAATTTGCACTCATGCGTTTTTAACTGAAAAAGGCACTTGTGCACGTGCGCTCTTTTTCAACTAAAAATGCATTCGGGCAAATTTCCCAAAAATTATCAATAATTTCCATTGCACTAGTTATATTACTATTGATAATTTATATAACAGTTGCTTTAACTCATATTTAAACTAGCGTAATTATTGTAACATATCATAATGGTAAAATGAGTATCGAAACATGTTAGTTGTACAGGGTGTCCTAGTTTTTGGTTGTACCTGACAGATAAATGAGTTGTTATTGGAGTAAAAAGGATGCGGTTTTCGAGACCGATGGCTCCTTTTTTGTCAAACGAAAGATGTCATCAGAATCGTCAGCGAACGTTTTGTTTTTCAGATATGAGGTGTTTTCTAAAATGTTGCATTTTGGAACGCCCCTTGTATTTCGGCTCTCTCATAAATTCTCCTTTTTCAATAAAAATGTAATTCTTCTACCCCTTTTTTCCTCATTTTCTCCCGGACTATTAGCAATAAACTTAAATCTAGTATATTTAGAATCAGGCTTGAAAGGCTAATCTAATGGGTCAATAATATTCAAGGTGTTCCATTTAAAAAACTTTAACTTTACTTTGCCACACTTTTGTGATATTACCTACAACTTTCACTTTTAACATTTCTAAGTATCTCTTCAAATGTCATTGATCTCTTCAAACAGGTGAGATAAGTGTGGGTGCAAAACATGGACAATCACCCGGTACATATCTAATCTAAAATAATAATTAAAAAATTACCTAGTGCATGCCGATTTTCAGTAACAGCTACAAAAAGTGGGTCATCGCTATTTTCAGCATTCAAAAAGACATCTGACCAAATAAGAGGAATGCCTTCCAGTACTCGTGTTTCAATCTTGCTTAAATCTTCTTGCAACTTCTTAGCATGAAAAATGTTATTTTCATCAGTTATGGAAAAATAAATTTCCCATACTTCTTTTATGGAACTGTATAAATCCACTGCCAACATATGTAACTGTCGGATTAGTGCTATATCTTCAAACATACCTCCTTCACGGAGATCTATTTTTTTTCTTTCTAATCTTCTCAGACTGCGAGATGAACTGAAATGAAACAAAGTCAAAAATATATTTCTGAATTTACTCAGATATTTCTCTAAATTCATTGTAACAAATATTATGTATCCTTAAATTCCTTATTGTGTTTTTAAAAGACAAACTTTTATGCTTCCATTGTTGCCTTTCCACAAAAAATTGCACAATAGCAAAACTTACTTTTTTGAACCAGCAGAACCAATAGAGTCTGTAGAACCTCTCGAACTTATGCTTCCATATTCAGAACTTACAGAATCAGTTTCAAACTCTGTATCATCCTCCTGGAATGCGTCCAATAATATTCCGTGTTCAATTCTTTGTTTGCGCAATAACTGTTTGTATTTGGTTTTCCGAATTTCCAACAATCTCAACATATAGTCATTAAATTTAGATCCTAATTCTGATATGGTTTCACGTGTATCTTCTCTATATTTCACAAGGCCTGGTTTAATGAAATTCGCTAGAAAGAATGTTAGTTTTAACTTAACTGAAGTAACAGTCTATCAATCAACCACTGTAAACAATCACTTACCAATCAATTCTCTATCATGATATTGCTTAGCCAAAGTTATAGCAGGTTGAAACATTTTATGCTCAGTTAATGCTAATACAGCAGACTTGTAATCACCACAATATTGTTCGTAAATTCGAGCCCCTTCTTCCACTCGGTTAGCATTTATCAGATCCTTCGCAATTATTTTAAGCAAGGCAACCTTAGCTTCCTCTTCAGTATGTACCATATTCAAAATTGATACAATTTTTTCCCAATTCAGTGCAATTTGATAGCGTTTTATGGCATCTGTATAAAGACCAGCCCTTTCTAAAGCCCATCCAGCTTCATCATGTCTGGTTCTTAAGCCTAAGTAATCAGAATATAACTTGGTAACTGTTTTAAAGTGAGGGGAATTTTTTTGTATATTTTTATATGCTATTTCATGCGTGGAATATTTCTGTATAAACATTGTCACAAATGATTCATCTTTAGTTTTTGAACGTACAAGGTACAGAGTAGCCATTTTGAAATCATTTCCTTGCCAACTCATTGCAAATCGTAAATCAATTTCGTCTGTGATACTCAGAAGTTCTTCTATTTTAGGCTCAAATATTTTTGGATCTTCTGAACACGAGGAATAGCAGAAGGAAAGAAACTCAATATTATACAGAGTATAAGCAGCATTGATAATATCTTTGGGGTGTTTATAACGAAGAATGTATGAAATGGCTTTGCGGCACAAATCAAGTTCTTTCAAATTAAATGCATGCTCTATAGACTTCATAGCTCCTTTTATAGTGAAATGTTTAATCTGCAGTATAACAATACTATGAAGGTTTAAGAGTGGATTCAAATCCATTAGCATTTTTAAAATGGCTCTTAAAATATTAGCTTTCGAATAGTCTTTATCTAAATACCGGTCCATTGCTGTTTCTTTATTAGACCAGTCACTATACATTGTATCAAGACAATTTTCATTTGTAAATTCAGTAACTATATTATTAAGCAGCCAAGCACTTTTGGCAGCTATGATAAAATCTTTAATGTGCTCTAAAAATCTTTGCCTATTCAAATCAATGAGCAAATTCCAGTTTAATTTTTGATGTCTCATTTGATCAACTGCAGTTCCCCATAAGTTTTGTGACAAAAGATTTTCAAGGGCATCTATAGCTATTAGGCGAGAAGTGATGGTTTCTAAGTTACCTCTAGGTAAAGCTAATATTACTTGATGTTTATTTGTAACAGTGATAATTTTGGCTCCTTGTTCCACTTCTCTTGTAACTTTGACCATTGTTTTTGGGTCAATATGTAAGAGATTTTCAGGTAAGCGTATACTGACGAGAATATTTTTTTCCACCTGATGTTGAGTATATAGTAAATAATTATCATGTAGGTAAAGTGATAATACATTTTCTGCAAGCACCTTTTCATCAATAATTAGATTTCGTTTCTTATCAAGTTCTATATGAACATTCTTATATTTGTATAAGTAGATGTTATTACTGGAAATCTTGGATGTTCCATTTGGAATCTCACTCCCATCAATTGCAAATTGTCCATTTTCATACTTATATTTCTGTAAACGACCATCAGACATCACGAACTCATAAATATTCAACAAAGCATGAAAGTTTATTTCATTTACAGGTTTCTGAAATGTCAATGTTTTACTAGCCATGGGAGGTGGTATAATTTCTTCCGAGAAGCAAGTTATTGAAACTTTTGATCCATTAATAACTGCTAGTAGCGCATTACTAAAACCAGAAACCTCCACAGCATATTCATATTTATGGAGACTTTCTGATGTTAAAACATTTAGTTTACAAGTAGCATTATTCAAATCATTGACCCAAGATATTTTTAGTACGTTGGGAAGGCATAATTGTTGCTTGAGGTACCAAGTGTTGTTGGCATGTAAATAAATATTCACACAACTCTCAATTGGTGAATCACTGTGGACTGCTAATAACTGTTTTTCTTGTTGGTAAACTATTTCTCTAATCTCTCCCTGAAATAAAAGTTTTTTTTTAAACGTATGTTCAGTACAATTTAATTTTAACAGTTAAATCTTCAAAAAATTATTATTTCACCCTATAATGAACAGTACATGAATAGGTATGGCAAAATAATGTATTTTTAGATGAGGGGGGAATTCGTTAAAAAAAACAGACTTCAGATAGCCCAGCTAACCAATGGAGGAGGGGGACATTTGAACACGTATTTTAATTTAGGAGAAAAAAAAAACAAGCGGCCGAAATTCCTAGAAGAGTCGGGCAAGTTTTGACGTCTTAGATCTGGGGACACACCCATGAACTTCAAACGAAAAGTCTACGGGTCGTGTGTTCTATTAGTCCAATATGACAGTACATATTTGCATCCTGGGAATAATTTTTTAAAGATTATATTATTAAGATTCATACTTTATTAATGCCTTGTTTAAGAAACTCACCTTATTTTCTGGAACTAAAAAACTTGATTTAATTTGACAATTTTTCTCAAATATCAATATCTGGTTAGTTTCGCCATCAGTTCCAGCACAAAAAATTAAGTTGTCCATTCCTTTGAAAGTTGTCGAAGATAATAAATTATTATAAGGTTTCGAGTCGAACAGTTGTCGAAAATGATTATCGAACAACTTCAAAAATCTTCTTTCTTCTTTCCAATAGTTTACAACAAACATCTTTCCATTCCCCCTCCAAGAGATAATTGGGGAACTATATTCCAGAACAATTCCTAAAAAGTTGATGTCCAATAAATAGTGGTTGAAGTATTGATTATGTTACAAAAAAAATCAGTTTAGTAAGTGTTTAATAATGCCATTATAAAAATATAATTTTGCATGAAAGAATACCCCAAGCCAAAAAGGAGTAAGTTTCAAAATTTTCAAAAAGTTAATAGGTTTGTAGAAAGACCAGCTTCTATCGAGTTTATTGTCTGTATTGTGAAACTGTATATAGGAGAAGGCAAAGTGGCCTTGGGCGTTCTGTTATACTTGTCAAAGGCGTACTGACTGTCTGAACAGAAAGACATTTTACCCATGAAAAAATAGAGTCTTTTTTGTAGAGAGATGAAGACACACACACATTATTTTTATAACAGGCTATCAGCGAACGTTTCCTATTAAAAGTGTCCAACTCTGTACAATCGGCAATCGCCTATATATACTTGTCATGTAGGAGAAGTAAAGAATAGAGGATACTAGGAAATTCAGACAAAGTCGACAGAGGGTGAAATTATAATTATTACAGACTAAAGCATATTATAGCATAGATGAGTACTAGGATGAGTACTTTACTGATAGTCTTTCCTGAATTGCGAGCTGAATTGTAATACTGTAATGGTGTTTGACTTGTTTGCTCATACTATTCCATTTCACTTCGATTTTATATAATTTTGTTCCAAGTTTATGCTCAGGTTTATCTGTAGTGGTATGGGTCATGTGGGTAGGCATTGTATTTTTATTTTTTGTGAGTAAGCTTAAAGATGTCTGCTTTGTAAATGCGAATTTTGTTCTTCCAACAATGAAGAATATTATTGATTAAGTAGATTAGAAGAGCGAGCCGCTTGTAGGAATAAAAGATGTCTACGGCGTTACTTAAGTAAATTTAGCACTAGTATAAGTTTTCACAATTATTTTAAGAAATACAAGCAAATATTAAAAAGAGTAAACTTTTGAGGAAAAAATAGACTTTTTAACGGAGAAATCAAGGGAGAAATACTAAAGGAAAAACTTTAATGACATAGGAGGATGAAAAAATAACAAAAAAGCTCAAAGCATAAAACTAATGGTAAATTCAAGGGAAGTCGACCAACCGGCAGATGTTGCAGATCAGCTAAATGATTTCTATGCTAACGTAGCCACTGAATTAATAAAAAGTATTGAGTCGACAAACAAGTAATTTCCACTGTCCAGAATAGATGATAGCGTATGTAGATTTTATTTGAGGCCCACCTCAAAAGAGGCTGGATTATCATAGTTTGAGACTCGGTTTAAGACTGCATTACTCTAGGTGTATTTTAGATATAAATTGTAACTGTGATCAAACTATACAGAGAAAATCCTCTTTAAAATAACTAGGAATCTTCATTGATCAAAACTTCACATGGAGAGTACCAGCCGAGGTACCAGCCGACTATGTCGCAAAGAAAATAAGAAAACTAGCATTTAAGTTCTATGAATTAAGAAACATTCTGAATCTGAAAACATTGAAAATGATTTACTTTGCGATAGTGAAGGCAGTTCTGAGTTACGGCATAGTGGTATGGGGTGGTGCAGGTAGGTCAATTCTATCAAAAATTCAAGTTGCTCAAAAATAGATCATTAAAACAATGCTGAATAAATAAAAAAGATACACCCCACTGACCTAGTTTATAAAGAGATTGAGTTAATGTCTCCAAATCAATTGTATATAAAATCAGTGATAAGATTTATGCTAAAGTTTCCCTACTATAAATAAAGTATTCAACATGGTGTAGGTATACACCTGAAATGTTGCAGACAAAAATGTCATCCAACAAAACCCCAAACACACATTGTGCCAGAAACATATCTATAATGTAGGGCCTAAAACTTATAACTGCCTACCGCATGCCTGCCGAAAAGGACCGTATCACAGAGTAAAGAGAGATATCTCTCAGTGGATACGGGAAACAAATTTCACTGTTAACTGGTTAGTCTGATTTTGAGTTTGATTTTCAATTTGCATGCATCAGACTGATTCCTTGTTTGTTCAGATTGTTTTTATCTCTTTTTCTTTTTTCCAAATTGAATTTTAGAGTGCTTATCCGCATAATTAGAATTGGCATAAAAGTTAGAAACCTTGTAAATATTTAAATATTAAATTATTGTATACAGAAAAAAAGAGCGCACACACAACATTACAGATGTAATAGTGCGCTGCTATCGGGTCTTCAAAAAAAAACCAATCAAAGATTGCTATGGTTTTTTAAATGTAGGTCTTAGCAATATTTTTCTTTAATTTTGACAATGTCAGTCAATGAAATTTAATGTCAAAATGTCATGTCAAAAATCCTGACCAATAAAGAAACAATAATGCGACGTACGTTTTCGTAACCAAAGCAATCTTTGATTGGTTTTTTTTTTTGAAGACCCGATATCTTTAGCAATAGCAATGTTCCTATTATAGTTATTTATGTATCAAGGGAATTATGCAGGTGTTAATACCCCAGGGCAACGTTTGTCTCCCGAGGGCCTCCGGCCCGAGGGACACCAATTGCCCGTGGGTATTAACTCCTGATAATTCCCGTGGTACATAGATAATTTTATATCCTACTGAATTTACTGTATTCTGTCTATTTTTATAAAGGAATAAGCCATAAATCAAAATTTCTATTTTTTGTCAAAGTGTTACCTATTCAAGGTAAAAGCGGGAGTTAAGGAAATCCTTAACTCCCTTGGGAGTTATGATATCCTTAACTCCCTTCCTTAACTCCCTTGGGAGTTATGAAAATCCTTAACTCCCTTGGGAGTTAAGACCCTGTTTATGATTATCGTAACCAAGGTATTATATGGTTTTAATCTCGGTTTTAATAGTTCAGTAGGATATAAAAATTCATTCGAAGGTGCCCATAATTCAACACAAAATTGTACTTTTCCACAGTCATTTCCGTGCTCACGGTTATACTTTTTCGCACTCCATGAAAAGTAGTACTTTGCGCACGCTCGTAGGAAAAATGTTGATTTTATTAGTCTGTCTGTCTAGAGACAGTGCTGATAGATTTTAGTCGGCATTGTCTGGTCAGTGCAGATAGTCCTGTCACCACTGTATGGACAGTGCAGTAGTCATTCCCTCAATTTTATCCTCGCTTTTAACCAACGATTTTAACCATTTACCTGAGCATATACCTAATTAAATTTAGTTGGCCCTAGATGTGTTTTAAAGTAAAACTGAAACATAATGGGAAATACATACCTTTATTTTCCTCATTACATTCTGGAATATAAGTTCCCCATTTAGGATAACCACAGTCAGGCATATTCATATTTCCACTCTTAACCAAATTGAAACCATACCCGGTATTATCCCCATTAGGCCCATGGTTGATAAGTGTAAATCCCAATAAGTTACCAGAGTCATCGATTACAACCACCAGATTTTCAATAGGATTCCAGGAGGCTGCAACGATTTTTGTATGTGCATCTGAATCTTCAAATGTGCATTTGTGAAATTTCTGTGAAGTGATATCAAAGACTAGGGGAATTGAGGTTGTAATAATAACAACACAATTCCATACACTCTGAAAGCTTATATAGACGATATCATCTCTGAGCTCGTCTGGAATATGAGCCAATGTACCTTTTTCGCCTTCTTGCACGATTAGTTCAAAAGAAGTGGTAATAAAACAACACAAATCATCATGTAGTTCAACTATTTTCAAACTGTTTGGGCCAGTCAATAATTTAGTGCTATCGTAATGCAGCAATCTTAAGTTTTCCATATTTTATTAAAATACTTTGCTAAATTCTCTTTAGCCACCCAGCAAAAGCAAAATATAAATAATACCTAACCTTACAAATTGAAAACACAAGGACTGTGTCAGTTGTCACTGTCAGAATGGTTGGCAGTCAGTGGCTATGTTCCGATATCAACTAGTTGTATTCCTTTCACACCTAGGAGGAGCTCCGGAACATCTCTAGGGCGTTACGCGCTTATTCCTTTCGAAAAGTGTTTGTTGCACCCAATGAACTATAACCAAAAACTGGAATGCTAACACATAAGGACGAACGTGAAGCCTAGTGCAGCTGCTGCGGAGGGGATACCTGTTTTTGTCGCACTCATTATGTTAAATGGCGAAAATTGCTTCCAACGCGTATTCCAATCGATGAAACCTGTCAAGGGAAATATGACAAATCTTTCGAAAACGTCATATGACAGCGAGCAACAGAAAAAAACAACATTCCCCCTTGTGGCATCTGTCTTTCATGGCTTCATTTTTTTGGCAGATATGGCAATAGTTGTATTCCTTTCAAGAGCTTGAAACACTCGAGCTACTCGCTTCGGTGCTTAGTCGCCCCCGATTTGCAGGGAACATATGCGTGGTGCAACAAACACTTTTCGAAAGGAATAAGCGCGTGAAGCCCCGGAGCTGTTCCGGAGCTCCTCCTAGGTGTGAAAGGAATACAACTAATGTGTGCGCATTCCAGTTTTTAGCTATAGTTCATTGGTTGCACCTGAGTGCTCAAGCCCGACTCGAACTTCAAATGCATGAAAACCAGCGCATCTGTTCCTTTCAAAACCGGGTCGACTAACTACATGGAGTAGCTCTAGTGTTTCAAACTCTTGAAAGGAATACAACTAATGCCAGTACTGGATTTACTATGCTGATTTTACTGTCATTTGCCGTTCCGATTTTAACAGCGTACTCTTGTGGTCATTCAGTACTGAATTGACTGAATCCAGTGTACTGAAAATAATATCGGAACGGCGTTCCGTCCAGTAAATTCAGTACTGATAGTTGATATCGGAACATAGCCAGTGTGTGTCAGTTTTTGAACTAGTGACGTCAGAAACCTGAAATGAATTATTTCGCACTTAGTTCATGTCCGTTCAACTCGAACAAATCTACACGTAGTTTTACAGAAAATATTTTATTGGATTTTCTTGACCTTAAAAGCTGCACTCTCTTTTTTTTTTCATCCATAATTAGGACACTTTCGACAGAACCACACCAGAAAAATGATAATGCGCTCCGATATTAAATATTCGAGAAACGTCCACTGAATGCACTGTTGTGACGGTTCGAAGAAAAGAAGATTTGAGAACGTAACCCCGCGCGAACTGTCAATTGTCAATTGAACTTTTGATAAATAAAATAATGTGAATGTGAAAAAAAAAAAAAAAAAATTAATAATTTTGATTTTGTCATTAGCTGGTGTTGTTTTATTAATTTGTCATCAATTATCTGGTGAGTGCCCTTATAATAGTCATATTTTATCTATTTGTAAATCAGGTAAGCATCAAACATCAAAACTAAATTATCATGAATTCTGATTTGCATGAAAATCTTGAAAAATCCGTTAAGTTTAGTAAACTGACCATTATCGCGAGCGCAAGGTAAACCTATTCAATGTTGTTATCCTTTGTAGCTACTTCCTTTTTAATCTTCCATATCTCTTGCCGATTGTGATTCATTACGACGAGTCATTTGCCTTGAGCGTCATTCCATCTAAAACCTCACTCTTTTATAGGAGCTCAGTGTTAAACTTACTGAAATTTTAGTCAAATAATGGGCCAAACACTATCTGAACCAGTAACTGCTAAAGACACCACTGTTGTCAGAAGCTCGGTATTTCGAGTTGGATCAAGCTGTATGCAAGGATGGCGAATCAACATGGAAGATTCGCACACACATCTACTATCTATGCCAGACGATCCAGATACAGCTTTTTTTGGGGTTTACGATGGCCATGGTGGCGCCAAGATCTCTGACTTTGCTGGAAAACATCTACATAAATTTATGGTCAATAGAGAGGAATATAGGTACGATTTATTGTTTTGCTATTAGGTACTTCAGTATTTGTGAGTAAATAATTGATAAAGTATGTATTTAAAGGTACAAATATTGAAAACAATTAGCATAAGGAGGTACTTAGTTGTTTAATTGTTGACAAAATAATATTAGCAGAGTTGCTTCTGAAAATATAAATTGAATGAGTACTCTACATCAGTGTTAATACAGGGTGCTACAAATTCAAGTTTTTGTTTGGGTTGTATTATTGTGAAACTATTACGAGATACATTACTTTCTGGAGCAAAGTTGCGCAAAACTCTCGGAAAAACTACTACTTCGCAATGCAAAAATTCTCACCAGGTCTAGGCCAGACATTACTTTTTTGGAGAACATTGAAACTCTGTTTTTATATTTTGTATTTTGGCGTCTATCATGGGGTTTCCATTGCAAATATAGACAAGGTGTCTTTAACTGTGCACAACTCATTTAAACCTATTGTCCATTCTGAGCCTTAAAACTGGTTTATTATTAGAAAAAAATACAGTCAGTAAGATACAGTCTCCTCACAATTATTTTTAAATGGAAGAATTCTTAGAAGAATTCATCAACAAGTTAATTAATATCCAGAGTGGAATTAAAGATATTCACCAATATGTGTAAAGAGAAAACAAATTCTGCCAAAGAAATTTCTAAGCAGTGATTTACGTGACAAATAATAACTCAGAATAATAATCGTTTATTTTGCAAATGCAAAATTTGCTTTTCTACAATTTCAGAGACATTGATTTACCGAGATATCAATTGAAAGCATTTAAAAATACAAAAAAAAATAATTTATTAGATTAGAGTTTTTTTTAGATAATTTATACAAGTCAGTAAATAAAGTAGGTACAATGTTCTGTTTTTTTTTTTTGTATATCATAAACTATAGCCAAGACAGTGAATGCTTACACATTATTTTTGTACACATTTCCTAATTAATTTACATAAGCTAATAGAACCAGCTTATGTAAATTAATTAAGAAATCTAAATATTAGATACTATTATAAAACAAGGATAGATCAAAACTTGACAGACTTAAGGAAAAATTGGCAAAAAATTGAAGAAGCCACAAATGACTCAAAGTTTAAATCAGGTAGATTAGATTTCTTTATTCGATCATGTTTACAATTACAAAATTGGTAGAAAACATTTTACCCAGAGGGTGTTGATCATGTCACAATAAAATTTTTGCACTTAAATCGTAAAAACATTTAGTAAAAAAAAAATACATTTAAGAAAAAAAAACATTCAAGATAAAAAACAAATAAATACACCTCACGAATAAATACTTAACTGGTCTTTCCGACCTCTTCCAGGGTCAGCACAGGGAGTACCATGTTTATTCAGGCACTTAATAAAATTTAATGCTTTGCTAGAAAAAAAAAAACAATGAAAAATCCAACTGAAATATTTCACTTTTTGATCAGTAAAAAAATCGTTGAGACTGTAATAGGCTTTTGAGCTCAGAAATGTTTTTATTTTGCAGTTGATAACTCTTGATGGTAGCATACGGAGTGCGGGAGGCAAGACATTCCAGACTTTCAGAATGTTGTGTTTAACATTTTTTATGTCATACCAATACATTATTGTGTTTTTATGCCTTAGATACCATCTACATAATTCATTACTTAATGCCCGTGCGGGCATAAAGTACACATTATGGCCCGCGCGGGCATAAAGACGCAAAAAACAGTTTTCAATTAACTTATACTCTATTAACAAAATAAAAATTTACGCGTATAAACATATTATTTTTGTCAAAAAATGATGATGTTTGCACACTGATGACAATTTGCGAAGTGACACTTTTTTCCCAGGTATTTATTATTCACCACCAACTGATATGACATGAAAGTTTGTATGCACCACGGGTACTAATAGATATATATACCCTCCGGCGACTTACGAACCCTCGGGCCAGAGGTCCTCGGCTTTGTAAGACTGTCGTCCTCAGGGCATAATCATCTACTTAGTACCCTTGATACATAAATAACTATTAGGATGTATGTTAGGTGAGCAATTTCAGTAGTTCTAAGGTTGTCTTTGAATCTAGTACCATGATAAAGATTAGATTTTAGTTTGTCAAAGATATCTGGATTTTCTGATAAATTTGATACTCTCTGCAATGTTCAGGATCCGATCCAAAGCCATGTAGATAGCCCTTAATGTCGATTTGCCTTTCCTGAAACCGTTTTTTTTTTCAGTGAGTGATGCATTTTCCTCAAGAAACATTAAAAGTTTATTATATATTGCTTTTTCAAAAATTTTGTTCAAGTTTGAAACTAGAGAAATAGGCCTATAATTTTTAGTTTTAGGTCATTTAAGTCTCCTTTTTTGTGAATCGGTTTTAATAATGCGGTTTTTAGGTTAGATGAAAAAATACCCTGTTGCATAGATAGATTAATGATGTACAGGGTGGGCCAATTTGGACACTTTCTTATGGAAACACCCTTTATTTTTAGAGATAGAAAAAAATGAACCCCCCACTCTGAGGCTCAAATTTCATGAAATTTTGATTGGTGCAAACCGCATTTTGATATCTTCAACCGTTTAGCCGCTAGAGGGCGATTCTCGATTTTGAGCAATACTGTGAAACCTTCATAACTTTTTTATTTATGAAAATAATTCATTTCTGTAAAGACTTTCTGGAAGCACTTTTTTAAGTGGAATTCAGTGACGTTCTCAGCTTTTTTCTATTTAGCTCCGATTCCGAGATATTGACCAAAATCCGATTTTTTTCAATAGGACATCCTATATATTAATGGCTCATTGAAAAGCTCTGCTTTTGCTGATTTCAATGATGTAAAATTCAATAGGTTTATCTCCAACGGTTTCCGAAAAAAAAAATTATTTCGATTTTTGTCATAAGACACAAAGTGTTGGAAAAGGACTTTATATCTGTAAGGAAAACGAGAAAGGTCTCTTTCTAACACATTGTTTCTTATGACAAAAACAGAAATAATTTTTTTTCTCGGAAACTGTTAGGGATAAACCTATCGAACTTTATATCATTGAAATCAGTGAAAGGAGAGCTTTCCAATAAGCTATTAATATATAGGGTGTTCTATTGAAAAAAATCGAATTTTGGTCAATATCTCGAAATCCGAGTCAATTAGAAAAAAACTGAGAACGTCACTGAATTCTTCCTAAAAACGTGCCTCTAGGAAGTCTTTACGGAAATCAATTATTTTCATAAACAAAAAAGTTGTGAAGGTTTCACAGTATTGCTCAAAATCGAGAATCGCCCTCTAGCGGCTAAACGGTTGAAGATATCAAAATGCGGTTTGCACCAATCAAAATTTCATGAAATTTGAGCCTCAGAGTGGGGGGTTCATTTTTTTCTATCTCTAAAAATAAAGGGTGTTTCCATAAGAAAGTGTCCAATTTGGACCACCCTGTACAGGGTGCTGCAATTTGGAGTGTTTTAACAGGAAAAACACACTTCTCGACCAGATAGAGGAAAATTGACTTAGATGTCATGGAATCGATTTTCGAGAAACGTCGATTGTCAAAAACCGTATCGCGATATCTTCAATGGTACCATTAATACAGGGCGATTTTCGATTTTCCCCTATTATGAAAAATGGCTATAAGTTTTTTATTTATGATTTTTTTTTATTTTTGTAAAAGCATTATGGAGACACTTTTTTGAGCACAATCCAGTGGCGGACTCGGTTTTTTTCTATATCGCTCCGATTCCGAGATATCGACCAAATTCTGATATTTTCAAATGAAGCACCCTATATATTAATAGCTCTGTTTTTGCTGATTTCGATGATATGAAGTTCGATAGGTTTATCTTAACAGTTTTCGAGAAAAAAAATTATATCTGTTTCGGTCATAAGAAACAATGTGTTAGACAGAGACCTTCCTCATCCTCCTTACACATATAAAATCCTTTTCTAACACATTGGTCCTTACCACAAAAACAGATATAATTTTTTTTCTCGAAAACTGTTAGAGATAAACCTATCAAACTTTATATCATTGAAATCAGCAAAAACAGAGCTATCCAATGAGCTATTAATATATAGGGTGTTTCATTTGAAAATATCGGAATTTGGTCGATATCTCAAAATCGGAGCGATATAGAAAAAATCCGAATCCGCCACTGGATTGTGCTCAAAAAAGTGTCTCTATAATGTTTTTACAGAATTAAAAAAAATTGATAAATAAAAAACTTATAGCTATTTTTCATAATAGGGGAAAATCGAAAATCGCCCTGTATCAATGGTACCATTGAAGATATCGTGATACGGTTTTTGACAATTGGAGCAACATGTGACTCTTGTAAGTTAATTTATTGTAAAAGTTGTGCAGAACTTAAGACAACTGAAGCTCACACATTAGCCCTCAGTGAAAGAGTTTTATTATTTTACTGTCAATGTTGTAAAGATGAATTTAGAAATATGTGTTTTAATGAAGAAAAATTGGAGAAGTTATTTAACGAAAACAAAAGACTAAATGAAGTAATAGAGCTCTTGGAGAGTGAACATGAAGATTCCGTCGCAGAACTAAAAAGGCAGATTACTGAGTTGAATGAAGTTATTATTGCGAAAGATGATATTCTGCAACGAGAGAGAAGGAAAACCATAGACTTTCAGGACGATGTTTTTTCTGTTGAAAATTCACTGGAAGAAAAAATCAAGAGTCAAGAAAAAATTATTAGAACTTTTGAAAGGGAAATTGATGGCACAAAGAAAGATATTACCATACATCAAAAGAAATATGAAGAAGTTCTAGTGAAAAATAAAAGTCTAGATAAAAAAATCGAAAAGATCAAGCTATCTAGTAAATCTGCCACCAAACGTATGGATGAACTGATACAGAGGAACAAGAATTTGCAGCAGATAATAGTGGAGGAAGATGAGAAACGTGATAAACTGGTAAAAGAGCTAGATGATTTGAAGTCAATGAAAAATCAAATGTTAACAACAATTAGTACACTTGAGAATGATAATGATGTATATGCTAGTGAGAATAAAA